ACATCCTTATCTACGATGGAGGCCGAACCCTGCACCGACAGCGATATTGGATAGGAGTTGAAAATTGCAACAGTGTTTGAACCCTGTTGTTTGTGTGAGAATTGATAGGCCCTTGAGGGGGGCATTTCTGTAGCCGAACCCCCCATTCACCCGTTTTCCATGTTGGTGGGCTCTTTAAGAGATCTTTCCATCCTTCCGGAATGTTGCTGATGATGGCCTGTAGATTCCTCTCCCGTTGGTGACAGCCCTTGAGGAGGGCGGCAAGGTCAATGTCCGTCACCGAATCCCTTTTTTCTTCATTCCATAAATGTTCGATTTTCCAGACTCCGTGCTTTATCCAGGATAGCCAACGTGTGCCTCTGGGCTTGAGAGAGAAGGGGTGATCACTTTCATCTCTCAACCAGGGGTTGCCAAAGAGGGGTTGCCTCAGTACCTCTTCTCTCGTCTTGGGCCTGCCGACTTTTTTCGGCATAATTTCTCTCCAGATCCTTAGCAGGGACGTCCAGTAGGGTGTGGGGGGTCTGTTCTCCGGGTGATTGTTACCTTGTTCATTCCGGGGGGTCTGCGTCCTGTGCTGGGTGTCCATTCCTTGTTCATAACCCAGAAAAGACCTGACATGTTTGTTGGTGTAGGTACCGGAGCTAGTTCTCTGATGCTATCYAGGGCTAGTTTATTCCAAGCTGTGCCTGGTTTTGYAAGCAGTTTAATGATCCATTTGACCTGAAGGGCTTTGGTTTCTTGTTTGGGGTCGATGATCCCYAATCCTCCTTTACTTGGTTTCCTCGTGATGTAATGCCATGCTATCTTAGGKATGCAGTTAACTCTGTTGGGGTCACCAGACCATAGGTAGGCCCTTRMTACCCGATTGAGTTCCTTGATTGACTTGTCTGGTACAGTCCAGATTGAGGCTATATACCACATCATAGAAAAKATAGAGGTGTTGAGGGTTAAGGCGCGTCCAAGYAGAGATGTGAAGGTGTTGCCCCACCTGCCCATTTTATTGATTTGTTTAGTCAGCATATTCTGGGCCATTTGGGGAGCAAAGCCTTCTTTTGTCATCAGGATCCCTAGGTACCGTGTAGGTGTCTCCGGTGTCTCCCAGGTCAACGTTGCCTCTGGGCCTTGGAGCTGTGGGGGTTCTTCCTCTGACAACCACCACCCAATCGTTTTTTTCCAGTTAATCTTCATTTCCGAGGCAAGTCTGAAGGCTTCCATAGCTCTTACTAGAGCACTGAAGGACGAGTCTGAGGCTCGTATGAGAACCGTGAGGTCGTCTGCGAACATTATAACTGTTAAGAACTTTAGATGGTGGGCTGATCCTGCGTTGATTTCTGGCAGTCTGTGAATGGAAGGGTCTTTCCGTAGGAAGGAGGCTATCGCTTCCATAATGAAGAGGAAGATAGGGGGGGCTAAGGGATCGCCCTGATGGACTGATCGTGAGATTGGGTAGCATTCTGATAGCATGCCGTTGACTTGTACACAGCCAATTGCATCATTGTACAGGATATGTACCCATTTTCTGAAGATCGGACGTACTCCCATCTTTTCCATACTCGAGTTTAGGAAGGCCCAGTTGACCTGGTCATAAGCCTTTAATTCTTTTTTCTCTCACTTTGTTGGCTGCTTCGTTTAGAGTGAGTACATTGTCAAGAATGTATCTTCCCGGTATGAAATCGTGTTAAAAACTTATAAAAATAAAAAACCTAAAAAAAAATGAAATTTTCTTTTAAAAAAAGATCATTAAAAAAAAAAATTCAACCGAACACATTCGGGAGGCGTTCGGCTGGACGCCCGAACGTGTTCGGGCCCCCTCCCCCCCCCCGCCCTGCATCACGTCGCACTGACAGGAGTGCCATTTTTGGACCGCCGGGGGGACCGCTGGTTTGAAATACATGAAATTCACACACTCTTTCTATTTTCAGAGTTGCAGGGGCCGCGTTGAGCTGATGAATGCCTTGGTTGTTGTGGTATTGACTGGGCCTGCTACTCTAGAAATAGAAAGAGTGTGTGCATTTCATCATTTTCATGCATTTCAAACCAGCGGTCCCCCCGACCGTCCAAAAAATGGCACTCCTGTGAGTGCGACGTGATGCGAGGGGGGGGGGGCGGGGGGGTCTTCCTTCCTGGTTGTGGTGGTGTTAACTGGGCCTGATAAATGCTCGTTTACTGGTGGATGTCTATGAAATTATCGCCCCCCTTTTCTTTTTCCAATTCTTTCTCTCTTGTTTTCTTTTCTTTCTCTTTTCTTTTTCTTCTGTTTTTTTTTCCCTTGTTTTTTTTTAATTTTTTTATTGTCTTCCTTGTTTTCCCCCTTTCACTTTTTGGTTTCCACATTCCGCCATGGCCACACTAGGTCGAAAACCATGGTTGCCCCGGACCCGGAGAACCGGATAACCAGACACAGACACCGGACGCGTGTCTGGATCAAACCGGACGTTCGGTTAACCGGACATGAAACCGGACATCCAGACATCCGGAACCGGACAGTCCGGTTCGCTGTGTCGGTGTCCGGTTGTCGGGATTAAAACAACAACAACAACAACAACAACAACAACAACAAACAAACAAACAAAAACAAGCACAGAGCTCAAATGCACCAAGATTCCAGCCAAATAAGAGGAAAGCAGTGAACTGGTGTGCCAATGTCATCGTCCTCAGGCCCCACCAACACAGTATCCAATGTCGCTTATCTCTGTCTGGTGTCATAGCCCTCCCATCCCTGCTCCCCCCTCCCATCCTTCATCACCCTCCCATTCTTCAGCGCCCTCCCATTCGTTATCGCCCTCCCATCCCTGCTCGCCCCTCCCATCCTTCATCGCCCTCCCATCCTTCATTGCCCTCCAATCCCTGGTCGCCCCTCCCATTGGCCAGACCCTCCTCCCACGTCACAAAAATGCAAGGAATATGAGCGAGAGCGATAGACAGAAAATCAAGTTGCAAAATTATGCAGAAGTCCAGATAGTCATTTACCAAGAAGAGAGCTCAAATGCACTAAGATTCCATCCAACTAAGAGCAAAGCAGTGAACTCGTGTGCCAATGTTATCACGCAGAGGTCCCTTTCAGGGCCTGTTCGGTTGGGGTATCGGTTCTCAAACATCGCCATTATTTTTCCGGGGTACCCCAGGCCCAGGTAAACGGCCTGGGAACCCCAAAAAGCAATTTCAAAATTTTCGAAATCGGGGTCCAACCGGACCCTCCAAACCGGACACCGGACAGCGGACACCGGACTGTCCGGATCGGGATCCGGACGTCCGGTTGGTAACCATGTCGATAACTCAAACTGAATAGTGGCGCTAAGGGTTTCAAACATTTCTCTTTTCCACTTTCCATTACCTGTGGGACTCGACCCTATCAAAGGATCGAAGAGAGGGCGCTAACGGGAATTTCTCTTGTCCACTTTCCATTATCTGTGGGACTCGACCCTATCAAAGGATCGAAGAGAGGGTGCTAATGCGAATTTCTGAGTCTTAATTGTGTGGGGAATACAAAATGGGATTAGATTAATACGATTGCAAGCTGTTTGAAGCTGCTCAACATTCCTTTTTTTTTTTTTCTTTTTTTTAAATTTGGACCATTTCTCGATTTATGCGTGTCATCCTTGCGCAGGGGCCATGCTAATCTTCTCTGTATCGTTCCAATTTTAACGGATGTCCCGAAGGACGCTGCTCAACATTCCTAATTCGTCCTTGAAACGAAAAAAAAGCAGAGTAACATGATTGCATAACGATGAGTGGAAGCACACGAACGTGTTGTCCTTGGCTGAGTGCCCAGCCAGGCGATCTAGCCCAAAAAACTACGTAGTGCGATCTAGTTCAAAACTAGTCGAAAAATACTCAAAGCACGCGTAGACAGAATGTCGTTTTCTACTCTCTTTTTTTGCTATGCTTTCTCTTTGATAGCTATCGACACTTTTCCATTTTGGTGGTGGGGGCAGGGACTGCACTGAAATCATGCCTTCTACTTCAGCACACGCTTACTCTGCCAGCACAACCAACAAAGGCATGGTGGTAGTGGTTATGGAAGTGGTGTACGGTTGTCTCGCATCGAAGCAAAAGCGGTTACAGATGATAGCATTCAAAACCATATCTGCATCTCGGATCACAGGCAGGCAATTGGTGGTGGTGGTGGTGGTACAGAGGACAGGTGTGCCCTCATTGGACTAGGAAAAAGGGGTGACCATAGCGTTTTTAGAGCTTGCAATTGAAGGCTGCCGGAATTGCTCAGAGTGGTCACCATTTATGAGGCTGCTGCTGTGTGTGGTTTTCATCCCTGAATGATTTACTGTGATGGCGAGGATTGCGAGGAATCCCGAGGATGTTGCGAAAAGTGCCCAAGTTTGGAATGCTTTTGGGTCTTGAATTGCACCGCGACTAAAATATATTGGGTGTGTCAGGCCATTATTTTAAGACACTAGTGTGTTGAGCCGCAGCAGCGGAAGCACGAGGAGGAGGAAGAGGGGGAGGAGGAGGGAGGGAGAGGAGGAGGAGGAGGAGGAGGAGGAGGAGGAGGAGAAGAAGAAGAAGAAGAAGAAGAAGAAGAACAAGAAGAAGAAGAAGAAGAAGAAAAGGAGGAGAAAGACGAGGAGAGGGACGAGGAGAGGAGGAGGGGGAGGGGGAGGAGGAGGAGGAGGAGGAGGAGAAAGAAGAAAAAGGAGCATAAGGAGGTGGAAGACAAGGAGGGGGAGGAGGAGAGGAGGAGGAGGGGGAGGGTGAAGAAGAAGAAGAAGAAGAAGAAGAAGAAGAAGAAGAAGAAGAAGAAGAAGAAGAAAGAGGAGCACACAGAGGGAGAAGACAGTAAAGAAGGGGAGGAGGAGAAGGATGAGGAGGAAGACGAAGGAGAAGAAGAAGAAGACGAAGACGACGAAGAAGAAGAAGACCTGTGAGGTCAGCGTAAGGTGATGGATAGGAAGTCAGAAATGTTTCCCCCTCTGTTGCATAACCAGTTTGGTTTTGTAACCAGGTGCGTATCCTGACGTGAAGATGTTTCTCGCGTGGTGCAGGTATCAGGAAGAGGGTGCGGTGAACTCTTAGGAGAAACAGTGCCTAGTGATGAGAGAATGCCTAATCGTAGTTGGCCTACAACCATCATTCCCAGGAGCTGGTGTGAAGCTGCACAAGAGGTCTGCTCCTACAACACAAGGGGAAAAGACAATATGAGTGGATGTCAGCAATTTCCAGCACCAATTGTTACAGTTTGTGGACCGAACGGTTCAGGAAAGTCAACGATTGGAAGGCTGTTAGTCAACAGTCTGCTCAATGTGTAAGGAAAATCAGGTCATTTCGATGATGATACCTAAAGGCCATTGCCCTTTCTTATCCTCTTTTTTTTTGTTTTATTTGTTTGTTTGTTTGTTTGTTTGTGGTTTTTTTTTTTTTTTTTTTTTTTTTTTAAACATAAACACACACAGCCTTTCTTATTCTGCGAGCCTCCGGTCCTGTTGCTTATCACCGCCAAGAAAAACCTGTTTTTTTTTACTGAAACCCAGCACGTGGGGGGCCTGTGGGATGTCGGATGTGAACAATGGGGAAAAACGCCCATATTGGTACCCAGACATTGCNAAAAAAAAAAAAAAAACATCGCTTGATTTACTTCCCCTTTTCTTTTCTTTTTTCTTTTTTCATTTTTCCCCATTTGATTCAGTGGGGTGCCTTTGTTTGTTTGGCATGGTAATGTAACCATTTTGCTTTGTTTATTTTTGTTCATTTCTTGGTTTGATTTTCTCAAACTCTTGAGACCATTGGTTTCGTGAGATGACCCCTAAGAAATGAGGGCTGGCTTGGCCTGCCCATCTGAAAGCTTTTTATGCAGTTTGCGAATTACTATGACTTGAAAAAAAAATAGAACACATTCACCATTTTCACTTGTGGCAGCAGCTTCCGCCTTGTGAAGATGAGCTTGACCCTTGCATGCCTGTTTGGTTGTGCATCTGCAGGGCCTCCATACATGCATCTTCGCAAACCAGAGAGGTATATGCCTGTCACTGCACCTGAATGCCTCACACAGCAGATTCCTGCACTGTGCTTATTGACCCTCTCTCTCTCTCTGAGACTCTCTCTCTCTCTCTCTCTCTCTCTCTCTCTCTCTCTCTCTCTCTCTCTCTCTCTCTCTCTCTCATTCAATTTGCGAATGGGCTGAAGGTTCTATTTTGCTGTTAACTTGTTGTACCTTCTATCAATTTTCATTGTCGCTGTGCATTGTCTGCATTGGTCCATGTTCTTTGCTAGTGTTCTTCCTTGTAGTGTCAATAAGCATCTGCGTTGTGCTCTTTCTTGTTGTGTTCTCTCTCTCTCTCTCTCTGTGCCCACTTCCCCCCCCTTCTCTCTCTCTCTCTCTCTCTCTCTCCTGTCTCTTATACACATCTAGATGTGTATAAGAGACAGGTTCTACGTGGGGGGCCTGTGGGATGTCGGATGTGAACAATGGGGAAAAACGCCCATATTGGTACCCAGACATTGCCCACCAGCCCGACAGCTCACCTGCCCCCCCGTCACCACTGCTAACCTCACTTCCTCCTTCCCACTTCGTAAACCCCCACCCTGCGTACATACACCTCACACTACCCTTCTTCTTATAACTTTTGATTCCCCACCTTTGATCCCTATTTGTCATTTAGTACATTTACCAAATTCTTCTTTGAAAATCAATTCGCCATTTGACTTCGTCGAGGCACACATGGGAGCGATGAGAGCTCTATCCCCCTGTTCCTTTTTTTAATTTTTTAATTTTTAATTTTTCTTTAATATCCCCTCAGTGCCTCATTCAATTGGATATGCCATTGTGAAACGGTTTTCACCTGTTAGCAGTAGCGGATGCAGATCCCAGGGCTCGATCCCTAGTTCTCACCTTACCTGTGTACAGTATCTGTGTCGACCCCGAGAGTTGAACCCGTGACCTGTGTATTTGTAACAGTTGGTAGACTGTCGTAGGGTTCGTAGGTAGCAGGGGTTCGATCTGTAGACCTGTCGAGTAGAAGTCTTAGGGAGTTCTGGAAGTCGTAGCTGTAGAACTTCTGAAAGGTCAAGGTCGTAGCTGCTACAGTCCTGAATGGTCAAGGTCGTAGCTGCTACAGTCTTCGAAAGGCCAGGACCCAGACTTCCGGAAGGTCCTAGTAGTGGCCTTTCGAAGTTGCTCACATTTAGGCTGAGGCAAGTGGGCAAGTGGGCAAGTGGTGAGCCCCACTGCAGTACGCCGGCGGTGCGACTGCGTCAAGTTGGCAGTGCACACCCATGCAGTCAGCGGTACCGGTCCCAGTCAGTCCTAGTCCAGTCAAGCAAGTACCATATGGGACTGTGTGCACCACGGGCATGGGAAAGGGCCAGACCAACTGAAACGGTTTTCACCTGTCAGCAGTAGCGAGTGCAGATCCCAGGGCTTGATCCCTAGTTCTCACCTTACCTGTGTACAGTATCTGTGTCGGCCCCAAGTGTTTGAACCCGTGACCTGTGTTTTGACAGTTGTTGTTGTATGTAGTAGGTCGGTATAGTGGTAGGGGTTCGATCTGTAGACCTGTCGGATAGGAGTCTTAGCGAGTTCTAGAAGTCGTAGCTGTAGCCTGTCCGAAGGGTCAAGGTCGTAGCTGCTACGGTACCGAAAGGCCAAGTCTACAGACTTCCGGAAGCGGCCTTTCGGGGTAGGCTCACGTTAGACAGAGGCAAGTGGGCAAGTGGTGGAGCCAACCTCAGTGCGTTGGCAGTGCAACTGCAGTGAGGTTGCGGTCCAACCCCATGCAGTCAGCAGTACGGTCCAGTCAGTCCCAGTCCAGTCCAGCAAGTACCATACGGAACTGTGTACACAATGGGCCGATGGAAAAGGGCCAGACCAGCGAGCTACAGAAGTATAAATCAAAGGGCAGCGCCCAGCCATTCATTCATTCCTGCGTAAGCCATGCGGAAGCGCTGCCATAGCGACTTGTGCGAGGTGGTCTGCAGTGAGCCCGAGGACAAAGTGGGCGAGAAGGAAGTTAGCCATAGCGATAGAGTAGAAGCGGCCATAGCCGCCATAGCCGTGGATGTGTGCGGGTGTGTGAGTGTACAGAGTGTGTTGTGTGTGGGGTATCCAGGGTGATCCTGTGTGCGAACAGCAGTGTCGAGTGAGTGACGAACAGAGAGTTGTGGAGGCGATGTGCCGCTATAGCCAGTGGAAGTGAACTTGTGTCTGAACGGAGTTCTTGGTACTATATCTCTGAGTTCTGAGTGGGCGCTTGACGCCAGTTTGCTGCGCAACTTGTTTGCATACATGTGAGGTGTGAATGAATGCGAGTCTGATTGCACCAACGAGCTACAGAAGTATAAATCAAAGGGCAGCGTTCAGCCATTCATTCATTCCTGCGTAAGCCACGCGGAAGCACTGCCATAGCGACTTGTGCGAGGTGGTCTGCAGTGAGCCCGAGGACGAAGTGGGCGAGAAGGAAGTTTGCCATAGCGATAGGGTAGCAGCGGCCATAGCCGCCATAGCTGTAGATGTGTGCAGGTGTGTGTGAGTGTACAGTGTGTTGCGTGTGGGATATCCAGGGTGATCCTGTGTTTGAACAGCAGTGTCGAGTAAGTGGCGAACAGAGAGGGGTACAGGCGATGTGCCGTCATAGCCGTTTGAAGTGAACTTGTATCTGAGCTGTGTTCTTGGTACGATATCTCTGAGTTCTGAGTGGGCGCTTGGCGCCAGTTTGCTGTGCAACCTGTTTGCCCGCATGTGAAGTGTGAATGAAAGCGAGTCTGATTGCATTTGAATTCCTTCGGATCCAATGTTAGTGTCTTCATGGTTCCTTGACCTTCTTTCCCTTTCTTCTCTTTCTTCTTTTTTTAACACCAAACACACTTGCCCCGTCTATTCTCGGGGGCGCCAGTCCGGTCACTTTTCACCGGCAAGCAAAAACAATTTCACAGCCAGGCACGGAAAGTCGAACATACAGAAAAATGCCGTCCTCGGCCGGCACTAGAAGCCTGAGAATGGGGGGACGGCAAACCGGGGCCAGTTTTCTCAACAGCCAAGGTTCTTTCTCTTTCAAGTGTTTGGACTTTGAAGTTTGAACCTCTTTTTTGTTGAATTTTCTGCCCTGCTGTTTTGTTGGTTTTGTTTTGTTTTGTTTTGTTTTGTTTTGTTTTGTTTTGTTTTGTTTGTTTTCTTCTTTGACTTGTCTGCTTAGGGCTTCAACATATGTATGTTTGACTCTTTTTGCAGGTACCCCAAGGTGGCATACCTGGACACAGACTTGGGACAACCTGAGTTCACAGTACCTGGTTGCTTGTCTCTGCATGTTCTTCATGAACCTTTCTATGGTAAGAATAAATTATTAAAATTTAGATGTTGCACCCCGCCGGTCAGCACGTGTGTACGGAGGAGAGGCTGGTGCACGAGAAGCTTGCCGAGCTGATCAAATGATAAGTCTTGGTCTGGTTCTGGTGGAGTATCATTTAGCATGCCAAGCCTATCGTGTAGCATTTCATCAAGGCTATCACATGGTATTTCAAGGCTATCCGTCACTTGGCATTTGAAGGCCATCACGGGGCATTTCAATTCTATCGCTTAGTATTTCAAGGCCATCACCGGGCACTCCAAGGCTCTATCACCTAGAATTGTGAAGTATACTTATTTAGCACGGAAGAACGGTATTACGCCGGAAGGGTCTCTCTGTGCTATATACGCTTAGCAGGCGTATGAACGACAGCTGACGAGCTTACTCATGCCAGCCTTGAAATGCTGAGTATTGCTCTGGCGCTGACTGGCGGAGCTATCGCTTAGCATGGCTGACATGTTGCCACTTAAAAGAGCATACCCTTAGCACGGTTTAATTGAAACTCCAAATTGTACCCAGTCCCTCGGCGACACCCCCCCCTCACCCTCCCCAACTGTGTATGTTGTAAGCACAGCCAGCAGTATACCGATAGCCTTCTTGGAATGCTAAGTGTTGTCTTGGAGTGCTATTGCTTAGCATTTAAAGGCCATACCCCTGCCCTGATTACTTGCGGTAAACAAATGGGGGTACAATGGGGGTACGCCTGGGCCTGGCGGGGTTGTTCTGAAAGCCAAGCTTTGCCGAAGCCCCAGTGGCTTTTTTTTTTTTTTTTTTTTTCCTTCGTCTTTTTTGGCTGGCACCGCGAGCCATTGTGGTCTGCTAGTCCTGAGGCTTCAAAGTTTTAGGGGCTGTGTATGGCGGCTTAAGCATGCAAGGATGGGCGGAGTTTGTGTCCAACTACTCCTCAACTCCTGTGTTTCACTTGTGTATTTTTTCTTGGAGAGGGCAATCTGCCTCTTTCCATTCTTCTCTCCTTGTCATGCCCTTTGTTCTTTCTTTCACCTGTGTATTTTCAAAGTTTTTTCTCTTTTTCCAAGGTATTTTTTTCAATTGTTCTCTTTTTTCTCCAGAAGAATTTCTCCCCTCCTCTTTCTTTTCTGTTCCAGTTTTGACTGATGCTGCTCATTTATATTTTATTCTTGAAGAAGTCGGTAGAACCTCAAAAATATTCTTCCCGTTCGGATGCTTTGTTAATGCTTGTGCAGATGGCATTCCCATCGTCTCCCCGTTAGATTCATCGATGTTATGTTACCAAATTTTGAGTCTTCTATCATTTCATACATAGGACTGCTTCAAAATGGCATTGCTTAGCCCGGTTGGTTGGGCGCCTGTGTTCTACCGGTTCCTGTGTTGCAAGAAACATGCTGCGGGTTCAAGTCCTGGCTGGCTGGAATGAGTGCCCGTGATCGGGATCCGCCATATTGGACTCCGACGCATTTGCATCCCCGATTGGGTACCCCACGAGGTGACGGTCGCAAGGCTGTGTAGATGTTGTATGTGGGTTGTCTTGCCCGTTGAGCGTCCTGCTGGCTGTGCTTACAACATACACAGTTGGGGGGGGTGGGGGGGGGGGGGCTGCTGTCGCTGATGGACTGGGTACCATTGGGAGTTTCACGGCTTGGAATGCCCCGCTCTGCCTTGGGTGTGTCGTGGGAGTGTGATTATGGCACTGGCTGTCAGGGTAGGGCCTGCCTATACCTCAGCCTCCACAACCTTTTATAAAAAGGGGGAAAAATGGCATCACTTTGATGACATCAACATGAAAAAAAATATTCTTCTCGGTTGGATGCGTTGTTAATCTTTATGTGGATGGCATTCCATCATTTGGCCAACTGGGTGTAGCTCCGTTGCTGCAGCTGAGATGGTAAGGCACTTAAGTGGCACCCAGGAGGTCGCGGGTTCAATTCCCATTCTCCGCAGGTCGGTGCCTGTGGCATACTTGGTGTCTTACCCTCGAGGTACCTAGTTGATACGTGGTGGGACAAGAACGTGGCAGCTCAGTTGGTAGAGCTCTGGCGTTGCATCGAGGAGGTTGCAGGTTCGATTCTTTTGGCCCTCAACCTCCCTAGCACACGATTAGTTGGTGCTAGATTGGCACTCCATGTACTTGCCCCCCAGCCTAGCGCAGTACAGATGAGCTGATGTACACACACGGGATATCCATATATGGGATCATCAGGGTAGAGGAGCGCCGTCTCATGGGGTACCTGTAGGGGGGACAGGATGTCCCAGTGGGGTGGGTGTGAGAGTGCCATTCCGCAGAGGCATCATCGTGGAGGGCGGCGACATGCTTGGAGGGAGCAAGCACAGAGTAGGGGAGTTGTCCGCGGTGAATCATGAGGAGGCGGGTGGGGTTGCAGGGTCCACATCCAATCCGCCATGGTGTGGGCCCCTGTGGCACGGGTGGCAAGTTAGTTATACTGGATTAGGCACTACCGTCTTCACCCGAATAGAACGCCCCTTCATTATAGCCGTATTTGGTTCAACTTTCGGTCCGGATGCGGCAATAATTACCGGGCGTTCTATTCGGGTGAAGACGGTAGTAGGGGCTAGAGGGAGCACCTCTCTACCTGGGACATCATCATGGAGGGCGGCGATGCCTTCAGCAGGGAGTACGTGCAGAATAGAGGGGGGGGGTCTACCTTGAATTGTGAGGAGGTGGGTGGGGTTTGCGCGGTCTGCGCCCGTTTGAGCCTTGTGGGTGTAGGCCCCTGCTGCGCCGGTGGCAGGGTAGCACTACCAGGTTTAGGACCCAGATTAGTCAACCTAATCCTGTGGTACAGAACATATGGTACAACCGATTGACATAGACTCACAAGCGATACACAGACTCACACCACAAAGGCTAGGACTTCCGGGAAAGTAATCCCGGGTGCAGAATACAGACTGATGTGCAGACTTGTGAGGCATGGATTGCACAGCTGAAAAAATACATAAGCATACAGGATGGCTGACATAGACTTTTTTACAACCGACATGCAGACTATGCTGGAACAAATACATAAGCGTACAGGACATAACTGTGTTAGGTAGGGGAAGGTGGTTAGAGGTCGGGTGCTCATAGGTTAAGGGCTTGGTCAGATGGCCAATAGACACTGCGGGGGGTAGCTTGAAGCTGGGAACTCTAGGCATCGGACCCTGTCAAGATGGACACTCTAGGGGTCTGTTCACGTGGCTGGTAGAAACAGATTCACGTCTAGCTCCCGAGGTACCCATACAACGAGGCTCGTGCGAAACAGTGCGTCAACCAGGATAGAGGGACTGTTTCGCACCAGTGCTGGAAGGGGTTTGCGTTCAGCGATGGTGCCCACGTCCGCTGTCCGGTCAGGTTGCTCTGGTAGAGAGTGATAGTCCTTGAGTGAGGTAGGATAGAGGGAGGTGTGGTAGGGAATATGGAGTTGTGGAAGGAAGGGTTTCCATGAGAGCGTCAGCACGAGAGTCAAAAAAAAGAAAAAAAGAACAGGAGTTTAATAGAAGAATGAAAAGAGAAAAAAA